AAACATTGATGACATTAAAAAAATTTTAAGATGTATTTATGGGGCCAGTATTGTGGTATACTGGGTTAAGCTGCTACCTGCTATGTTGGCATCCCATATGAGTGTTGATTTGAGTCCCAGCTGCTCCACTTCTGAGCCAGCTACCTGCTAAGGCATCTGTGACAGGAATAGAGGATGGCCCAAGTTCTTGGGCCCCTGACACCTACTTGGGAGACCCAGATGGAGCTGATGGCTTCATACTGGCCCCACTCTGGCTGTTGCAGCCATTTGGAGAATGAACCAGTGGATGGAGGACACTTTCTCTCTCTCTCTCTCTTTCTCCCCCTCTTTCAAGTTTCAGAAACAGTCAAGAAAGGGGCAGTTTGAAACACCAAGAATTTAGACAATAACTGCTCTACTCCAGCGAAATACTTTGGAGAAAACTATGGTTTCACTCCTTTCCCACTAGCACAGGCCAGTAGAACACCCCCTCACTTCTCACAAATACCAGTGGAGAGCACATGGAAAGCTCAGACTTCTACCTGCACCTAACAATAATAGTGCCCCTCCCTTATCTCCCTGAGATGGTGTCAGTGGAGGTCTACGAAAAGTAACGACTTTCTACCGCCTGTCAGTTATAGTAGAGCTAACCCATGTAGTGTCATGGAGGCTGTATATGGAACAGTAACAAGGCATTTAGCCCTCCCCAGCTTAGGTGATATCTGTGTATGGATGGGAGTCTGAAATTCCATCTGTTCCCAATAGTAACGAGAACACCCTCCCCACTCTTTGAGTATCAGTGTTAGCCAAGTAGAGAACTTAGACTTCCACTCCCACCTAGAGTAACAAGGCAGTATCCTCTTAGCCCATTAAAGTTGTCAGAGGAGGCCTGCTAAAACACAAGATTTTAATAAGATACACCTAAAATGTACAAGTTTCAATTCAAAATCATTTATCAAGCAACTATGTTGATTGCAACCTGAATGAGGTAAGACAATTGATAGATCGCAACCCCAGATGACACATGTGTTAGAATTACCTGATAGGGATTTTTAAATAGTGTCATAAAAATGCTTGAACAGTTAAAAACATAGTTGAAACAAATGAAAAGAATAGAAATCATAAGGAAAGGTTTCTATACTTAGGTTAATTGAAGCAAAAATTACAACACTGTCCAGAATGGTTCTCAGTTTATGTAGAGAAAATATTTCATATAGTTATATTCTAAGCAGGAAATAGAGAGACTTAGGGTTATTAGTAATTTTCTGTATGTGAATTGAATCAGTACAATGTTGATGCCGATAGACTTTGATATATAAAATGCCTAGAACAACCACTTAAGATGCTGTACAAGAAAATACTTCAACAAATACGATAGGTAAATTCAAAAACGAAATTCTAGAACTTGTTCAGGTAACCCACAAGAAGATTGGGGAAAAGTAAACAAACCAAAACAAAATTTCATTGAAAACATATATAGTGTGTTTGTAATTAGAAGTCAGTAATAAAAATCTCCAGACACTTGAAAGAAACATTCTTCCAAATCTGTGCATCTGCTAATTTTCAGAGAATTTAAAGAGAAGAAAAATGAGAGAAGCAAGTGTTTAGTTGCATTTCAGATGCAGATCAAGTTGCCCTTGTTCCACATTAGGGAATGTGGTTTCAATACTTTGCTTTAGCTTCTGATTCAAGATTCCTGCTGGTGTAGGACCTGGAAGGCAGTGGTATTGACTCAAGTAATTGGGTTGCTACAAAACATGTGAAAGTCTAGCATTGAGTTCCTTTCTCCCAGCTTCCACCTGCTTGTTACAGGCATTTGGGAAGTGAACTATTAAAATTAAAAAAAAAAAAATACATTGAATGTAGTATATCAAAATTTGTAAGATACACTTAAAACAGTGCAGGGAAACTTATAGCATTAAATGTACACAAAAGAATATGTCAGAAGAAAAGTTTGAAATCAGTAATTAAGCTCAAGTACCTAAAAAAAAGGAAAGTAAAATAAGCCAAAAGTAAGTAGGAAAAAAGGCATCATAAAGAGCTGAAATAAATGAAAGTCAACCTTGAAACCAAAAACTTGTTCTTTGTAAAGATCAATAAAGCTGACAAGTGCCTATTAAAATTTATAAGACTAAAAAGAGAGAAAGCAAACACTGCTAAAATCAGAGATGAAATAGGGACTATTATTACAGACCAGGATGATAGCAAAAGAATTTAAGTAATTTTACAAAAGGATATAAGTAAGAAAATACTGCAACCAGTTCTTTGCTTATACATCTGACAACTTATATGAAATATTAATATTCAAAATATAAACCATCAAAGCTCACCGAATATAAAATAGCTAACTTCAATAGCCTTTAACTATTCAGTGAATTTAACTTGTAATTTTCAAAAAAGGAATCTCTAGTCTCAGGTGACTTCACTAGAGAACTCTAACAAAATTTAAAGAAAGATTGACATAAGTTCTACATAATGACTTCTAGAAGATAGAAAAGAAGGGAATTACTTGCCAACTTACTTTGTAAAATCAGTATTATTTTAATCTCCTATATGCCCACCCTCCAAAAATGGGCAAAAACAGTAAAAAAGAATGAAATGCAAAATTTATTAACAAAATAACAGCAAATAGAATTCAGGAATATATAAAAATTATTATAAATCATGACCAAGTGGTGTTTATTCCAGAGATAGAAGGCTGGTTCAATATTCAAAAACTAGTCAGTTTTCTCCATCACGCTAACTGGAAAAATCACATCATACTGATTAATACATAGGAAAAGCAATTGGTAACATTGCATACCCTTTTATTCTAAGAGTATACATTTTAGGTATGTTATGGCTTTGTTTGGCCATAAGAAGAAATGAGGACCTGGCTTAGAAGAAACAAGTTTATTGTATTTACAGATTCCAGAGAGGGTGATAATCACATACCACTTAGGGCCACAGGGGAGGTTCCATATTTTGGTCAGATGACAGAAAGACAGGAGCTAGGGAAAAACTTAGAAACCCTTTATTGAGGGGCTGGTGCAGGTGGCACAGTGAGTTAAGATGCTGCCTGCAGCACCAGCATTTCATATGGGCACAGGTTCATGTCCTGATTGCTCCTCTTCCTGTCCAGCTCCCTGCTGATGTGCCTAGGAAAGCAAATGAGTATGTACTTGGACCCTTGCACCCATGTGGGAGACCCTGATGGAGTTCTAGGCTCCTGGCTTTGCCCTGTCCTAATTTCATCCCTTGCAGTTTATTAGGGAATGAACCAGTTGATAGAAGATCTTTGTCTCTCTGCCTCTCCTTTTCTGCAGTTCTGCCTTTCAAATAAATAAGTTAATAAAAAGAAACCCTCTTTTGAGATTTATGAGGCAAGTGAGAATAAGCCATTTAGGATTTGCTAGTTTGAATAATTCCAGTAGGCTGTAGGACATCTGGATAATCCTAACTGTCTGATCCTGGCCTTAAGATAACTCAAGATAACTTAGCAAAGAGGAAACACTGCTTTGTTGTGTGTGAGTTAGAAAGGGAGATAACGGAGGCTATATACTTGGGGTTGACTTATTTATTTTTGAAATATGTGCTCTCAGTTGAGCCCTTTGTTATATCTTAAGGATTGATTAGCCCTGTGAGGGGCTGTCTTTCCCCAAATATTTAAGGTTACCAAATAGCAGGGTATCAGAATATAAAAAATATAGTAATACAGTTGGCCCTGAAATAAATAGGCACATATAGAATCTAATAAAAAGAGAACACCATTCATGATTTAAAAGAAAAAAAAATTTTAAGAAAAACTGAAATAAAAGGGAATCTCCACTACCTGTTAAAGAACATCTATTTAAAAAAAAAAAAAAACAACTTAGAGATAACATGCTTAATGATGGCAGATTCAGTGCTTTCCACCTAAATTTGAGAAGAGGGAAAGACCGTCTACTCTCACCATTGTTCACCACAGTTATCGAACAGTACTGGAAAAGTCTAGCCAATACAAAATAAAAGAAAAGGACATGAAAGGCATGCATATTGAAAATGAAATAAAAGTTTGTAAAGTCTGTAACCACATCTTATATTGCACCATCTTCACTGTAAGATCAGTGTATTTGATTCTTAACTTGATTTTACAAAGTCGGGGTTTTATACTTTTTTTTTTTGACAGAGTGGACAGTGAGAGAGAGAGTCAGAGAGAAAGGTCCTCCTTTTCCGTTGGTTCACCCCGCAATGGCCGCTGCGGTCGGTGCACTGCGCTGATCCAAAGCCAGGAGCCAGGCGCTTCTCCTGGTCTCCCATGGGGTGCAGGGCCCAAGCACTTGGGCCATCCTCCACTGCACTCCGGGGCCACAGCAGAGAGCTGGCCTGGAAGAGGGGCAACTGGGACAGAATCCGGCGCCCTGACTGGGACTAGAACCTGGGGTGCCAGCGATGCAGGCGGAGGATTAGCCTATTGAGTTGTGATGCTGGCTTGGGGTTTTATACTTTCAAAAATATATACTCAGAGCTATTGAAATGATGAGGAATTCTTTGTCCCTACTAAAAGATACCATATTCTGATAATTTTATTCTGTACTGTGATAAATTTCTGTTACTCTTCTGCTTTCATTTCTATTCATTGTTTCCAATCTGTTGCTTTACACAGTTGACTAGGTAGAGATCTTGGGCAGTTCCACTTCTCTGGAATGAAGTGCATAAACTTGGTGACAACTGTTTGCATTGATTTTTTTTTAATGTGTTTACTAGTTTCATATCCTTGAAAGTAGAGAGACAGAGAGAGAAGTTTTCTATCCACTGTTTTACGCCCCAAATTCCTACCACAGCCTGGCAGAAGTCAGGAGTCCAGAACTCCCATTCAGAATTCCTACGTGAGAGGGACCCCTATATAAGTTTTGGTATTCTTTTATAAGAGTGATTATTAATAGTTCTAGGGCTTGGCACTCACTCATTGTGTGATTGCAGTCCCTGTGCTGAGAAGTAATGCTTTGTGGTAATAATAATAATGATGATGATGATGATAATGTTTATTTTTTCTCCCCTAGGACTATAGAGATATCATTGACACTCCAATGGATTTTGCTACTGTTAGAGAAACATTAGAGGCTGGGAATTATGAGTCACCAATGGAATTATGTAAAGATGTCAGACTTATTTTTAGTAATTCTAAAGCATATACACCAAGCAAAAGATCAAGGGTATATAATTTAATTGTTCTCTTTTATGTCTAGTTAGAAGAAAATCATATTAAAAAACTAAATACTGCTCCCATTTAAAGTTTAGAGCAGAATCAGCTATGATGTTCTGAATGGTCTCCTTGTGGAAAAAGAGCCTGTATCTTTCTACTCAGTTTTTTCTGTGAAATAACACTGATGTCATCTTTGATGTTTGAAGTGGTATTGTACACATGTTATATATGAACAATACTGGTATGTAAGAGCCATCTGGGCTTCTGCAGCTATTTTATGGAGTGATGGAAAGGAGCATTTCTGTGAATGATTTACAAAAATCTATCTGTATGATTTACAAAAATAAATGTAAATATCATTTACTTCTATTTATCCAGACAGGACCTCATATAGGTTGATATATGGCAGTGGAATGAGAAAGAATAGATACTTATCTTAGATAGTCATGGAAAACAGGTTCAGATGCTCAGGGATAGTTTCAGTATGATAGAATTCACAAGGAGTTTTGTCTGTTCTGAATTCAGAGTAAGACTTTGCATTAAAAATCTCAAAACTTGGAATACCCCTTATCTAAATGCAAAAATAATTGTAACAATACTTCAGTTTACTTTTTATGAAAAGATTTTGGGAAAAAGGGATGTAAAAACCAATATTTAAATTCTAAAAAGAAATTACTAGACAAATATCCAAATTATTTATATTTAATGAATATATTTACTTTCCTTTGAGGAGTATTTGAACACAGTTTTCCCCTTCCATAGATTTACAGCATGAGTTTACGCCTATCTGCTTTCTTCGAAGAACACATTAGTTCAGTTTTATCAGATTATAAATCTGCTCTTCGTTTTCATAAAAGAAATACCATAACCAAAAGGAGGAAGAAAAGAAACAGAAGCAGCTCTGTTTCCAGTAGTGCTGCATCAAGGTATATAATTTCTTTGAAATGGCTTTAACTAATCTATAACTTTGTCATCTATATGATAGAAGTTGGTGTTTTTTAATACTTCCTTTACTATTCCCTATATTGCAGAATGATATATTTGACATGCAAGTTCCTATGATGTGGAGGATTTTTAATCTTTTAACTAAAGCTTTACTAGTGTAAGTGCTTAAATTCAAACTGCTAAATCTATACAGTAAAACAGCATTTTTAGGATAGTGATGGTATCATGCTTTCTGTCATATAACTGTAGCATTTACAGCAATCCTTCACTAAATATTCACTTTTCAAAGGCTCACAACCATAAGAAATCCACTACAAATCTCATGTTTTAACATATTTCATAATAGTTCAAATATTGAATCCAACACTATATTATAAAACTTTCATTTATCCATTTAGAGTTACCTAGATGACTAACAGTATTATTTTATTCACAGCCCTGAAAGGAAAAAAAGGATCTTGAAACCCCACCTTAAGTCAGAAATTTCTACCTCTGCGTTTTCTGCACCAACACGCTCAATACCACCGAGGCATAATGCTGCTCAGATAAATGGTAAAACTGAATCCAGTTCTGTGGTTCGAACCAGAAGCAACCGAGTGGTTGTAGATCCAGTGATCACTGAGCAACCCTCTACTTCTTCAGCCACCAAGACTTTTATTTCAAAAGCTAATACATCTGCAGTGCCAGGGAAAACAAGTAAGACTCAGTTACTAAATTAAAATGTGTATGGTGTTTTTGATTATTTTTTCCCTTGAGTTTTTTTTGTTTTGTTATTAATGAAAAAATTGAGGTTTATGAATATCAGCATAAAATAATGCTTAAAAGTGCAGACTGTGATCCAGACTCGAATTTAATTCCTAGTAACCAGACTTGTTAAGCATTTTGCCTATACTTGCCTTCATAATCTTAAAATAACTGACTAGCTTAAAAAAGAGCTGCAACTGTGAAGAGTTTCTAGTTGGGTAGTTTTTTCCTGAGGAAGCTTTACATATCTTTCAGGTTTTGTCCTCTTGGCTAATCCATACAATTCAAGATAGAAGCAATTTCAATCATTTTGCTTATTTTTAGATTTAGCAACTCTTAGTTTTAATCTTGTTTGTGGTTTCAGTACTAGAGAATTCTGTGAAACATTCCAAAGCCTTGAATACTACTTCAAGTCCTGGTCAATCCACTTTTAGCCATGGCACTAGGAATAATTCTGCAAAAGAAAACATAGAAAAGGAAAAGCCAGTCAAACGGAAAATGAAGTCATCTGTCCTCTCGAAGACTCTTTCTAAGTCATCGGCTGTCATTGAGCAAGGTAAGGTATTATTTGTAACTTTATTAAGATACAGTAGATTGTTCTTTACCAGTGATGCTTTTTTCACAGTTAATATTTATATACAGTGTTTGGGTTGCCCATTTAAAAGTCACACAGTCTGTATCACTTGATAAATTTAAGGCAAGAAAATCCTTCTATATTGAAATAAGCACAAATGTGCTGTAGCTTAATTTATAACTTTATTATTCCAAAACCTAACGAACTATACTCAAAGTGTAAGTTGGATTTATTTAACCAAACCTAACGTTTTTGATAGAAGACATCCCAAAAATAAGCAGTTGTATTATGATGTCCAGGTATGTCTAAGTTGTTTCTTCTACAATATTCTTCCCAGAAAGCTCACTTAAAGCGTCTCTACTGAAATCTCATTTTGATTGATGTCATTGGGGTCTACCAACCTGCATAAGCTTAAAATCAGGGATAATCTTAATCTTCTATTCAGTATGTGAATCTTTTCAACAATCTTTAGTTTTTGTTTCTACTGCCATAATGACATTTTAATTTCATCTCATCTCTCTACTGTCACTTCCATGGCCTTAATTCAAGCCTACATGATATCTTGTATGGGTAGTTTTCTTAGTTTTCTAACTGAACTTCCTGCCTCAGTTCTCAAATCTTTCCTGCCTAGTCCATCTTTGCATTGCAGCCAAAGTTACCTTTTCAAACATTTCTCTTTAGCCTGTGTGGGTTCATATGCACACATACACAAAACACTGAATTAAAATTCTTTATTGCCTCACATCATATATGGAATCAGATTTATTTACTTACTTACTTTTGTATGCCTATTATGCAAGACTCTTCATTACTTGGCTCTTTGCTGACATTCCAGGTTGTCTTACCATCTTTCTCTCTTTTATGTCCCAGATGTCATAAACCACTTGGATGGTGGTTTGTCCTTTTCTTCCTTCTTTAGAATAACTTTTTCTCTCCTGCTTTCATGGCCTCCTATTATCTTCCAAGTCTCACTTGAAGTGTCGTCTTCTACAGGAAGGCTTTTTCTGGCTGCATTAGATAAAACCAAGTACTTCCTTCTTTATGTTTCCAGGACATCCTGTTCATTACCTTCTGTGGTACTTAAAATATTGATAAAATTATTGTTTTACATTTCTGTGTCCCTGGAAGAATCTGTGCCTCTGTGTTTAATTTCATTTTTTTTTTTTTAAGATTTATTTATTTTTATTTGAAAGTCAGATTTATAGAGAGAGAGAGAGTGATCCTCCACCCAATGGTTCACTCCCCAATTGGCAGCAACGTCCAGAGCTGTGCCAATCCGGAGCCAGGAGCTTCTTCTGGGTCTCCCATGTGCGTGGAGGGGCCCAAGGACTTGAGTCATTTTCTACAGCTTTCCCAGGTCATAGCAGAGAGTTGGATTGGAAGTGGAGCAGCCAGGTCTCCAACCCGCACCCATATGGGATGCCGGCGCTTCAGGCCAGGGTGTTAACCCTCTGCGCCACAGCGCCGGCCCCAATTACTCATTCTTTAATCACTTGTAGTTGGTATATAGTAGATAAGAAGTCTTTGAATAAATAGCAAATGACTTTGCATATTAGCATTTTACATTTCTTTGTCTACTTCACTTATGAACTGAATTCCTAGTTTTGAATAGTATGTTGGCATTGTGTCTATCACTCCTGAATCCTAGAGAAAGAAATTTAAAATACATGGTTAGTTGTTTCAGCATTAGGACAAGGAGGTCCAATCTCTTAGCCGATTTTTTTTTTTTTTTTTTTAGTAAATTTTGAGCATCTTTTCTTTTTATTATTATTATTTTTTTTTTATTTTTGACAGAGTGGAAAGTGAGAGAGACAGAGAGAAAGGTCTTCCTTTGCCGTTGGTTCACCCTCCAATGGCCGCCGTGCTGCAGCCGTCGTACTGTGCTGATCTGAAGGCAGGAGCCAGGTGCTTCTCCTGGTCTCCCATGGGGTGCAGGGCCCAAGCACTTGGGCCATCCTCCACTGCACTCCGGGGCCACAGCAGAGAGCTGGCCTGGAAGAGGGGCAACCGGGACAGAATCTGGCTACCCAACCAGGACTAGAACCCAGAGTGCCGGCACCTCAAGGCGGAGGATTAGCCTATTGAGCCGCGGCACCGGCCTTGAGCATCTTTTAAGCTTCTTTTTATTTATTTGAAAGGCAGAGAGGGATCATCCATCTGTTGGTTCACTCCCCAGATGCTCACAATACCCAGGACAGGGCCAGGCCAAAACCAAAAGCCAGGAATTCTATCTGAGTCTTTCACATAGGTGGCAAGAACCTCAAGGATTCATGCCATCATCTGCTGTCTTCCAGGTGCACCAGCAGGAAGCTGGATTGCAAGCAGAGGCAGGACCCAATCCTAGGCACTCCAACATAGGATGCCGGTGTCCCAAGGGGCAATTACCCATTGCACCATAATACCTACCCTGTATTACAAATATTCAAGAGTACCAGTACAGTATAGAAATACTATAATTACACTTGACTATTAGAATCAAGAACAATGCTATTCAATGGAAATAATATTTAAACTTTCTAGTCACTATGTTTAATAAAAACAAGTAAAATTTTATAATGTATTTACCCCATTTTATCTAACATATTTTAGCATATAATCAATATTTTTTTCTGGGCTTCTGGCTTTGGCATGAACCAGTCCCTTCTGTTATAGCCATCTGGAGAGTGTACCAGCAGATGGAAGATCTCCTTTTCCCTCTCTCTGTCACTCTCTTACTCTGCCTTTTGAATAAAATAAATACATCTTTAAAAAAAAAAAAAGATGTTGATTAGTGGCTATTTTCTTGGATAACACAGGTTTACCTGCTGAATTCTTTTTTTCTTTTTTCTTTTTTTTTTTTTTTTGACAGGCAGAGTTAGAGAACGGACTTCTTTTACTGTTGGTTCACCCCCCCAAATGGCCGTTGCGGCTGGCGCACTGCGCCATTCCGAAGCCAGGAACCAGGTGCTTCCTCCTGGTCTCCCATGCGAGGGCAGGGCCCAAGCACTTGGGCCATCCTCCACTGCCTTCCCGGGCCACAGCAGAGAGCTGGACTGGAAGAGGAGCAACCGGGACAGAATCCGGCGCCCCAACTAGAACCTGGGGTGCCGGCACTACAGGTGGAGGATTAGCCAAGTGAGCCACGGCGCCGGCCTGCTAAATTCTTTTTTTAAAAAACTGCATTTGCTTTTTAATCTTTTTAGGTTATATATAGCTTTGTGAAGTTGATGAAACCTGTAGTCCTTTCCCCTAAAAATGTACATAGGCATAGCCACACCAAATTTCGTACAATTTCAAGGAGTTCATAGAAGCCTTGAGGCCAGTACATAGAACTTTGTATAGTAGGTACATGCATTGGATATTTAGAACTCTTTTCAGTAGTCTTGTTTAAATATTTATTTATGTAAGAGGCATTAAGACAGTACTGCAAGTACTAGTTCAATCCCCAAGTGCCTGCAACAGCCTCAGAGCAGGCCAGAGCCAGCACCAGAAAACTAATCCAGGACCACCACTGCTGTCTCTTAGTGTCATCTTTAGCAGGAAGCTGTAGTCAGTAACCAGAAATGGTCGTGGAACCCAGGCACCCTCTCACACATGTTCATCAGCGGTCTTAATGTAAAACAAAAGCAATAACCAGTATCACCAGACAGTTTTAATGTAATTGCTTGGTGGAAAATAATATTCTACTTTGTGCACACATCACATTCTTCCCCCAGTACACACACATACACACAGTGCTGTAGAACACTAATCTCAAGAAAATCATCTATATTATGAGGTCACGAAATGAGGGCTTTTTGCCTATTCCTTTTATTGTAATCTCAGACTTTTGAGTCTGTTGATCAGTTTTTTCTTGATTTTAGAAAGTATAACTTGCAGGTCCCGCGGCTCAATAGGCTAATCCTCCGCCTACTGCACCGGCACTCTGGGTTCTAGTCCCGGTCGGAGTGCTGGATTCTGTCCCAGTTGCTCCTCTTTCAGTCCAGCTCTGCTGTGGCCCAGGAGTGCAGTAGAGGATGGCCCAAGTGCTTGGGCCCTGCACCCCATGGGAGACCAGGAGAAGCACCTTGCTCCTGCCTTCAGATCAGCGTGGTGCGCCAGCTGCAGCGCGCTGGCCGCAGCAGCCATTAGGGGGTGAACCAATGGAAAAGGAAGACCTTTCTCACTTTCCACTCTGCCTGTCAAAAAAAAAAAGTGTAACTCAAAACATTGTCTTTAAAAAGCAGTTTCCATTTCTCTGTGGATTTCATCAAAAATACTGTATTCCAAATCACCCACCATAACCAAACAAAATTGCAGAACTTTTGAAGAGAATCAGGAGTTAATAATAATGCATCCCAATGTTGGCACTTGTTAGGAGCCCCTCACTGCTCTGTTTCTGATCCACCTCCCTGCTGATGCATCTGGGAAAGCAGCAAAAAATGACCCAAATACTTGGGCCCACTGCTATCCTCATGGGATACTCATATGGAGTTCTGAGCTGAGGGCTTCGGCATGGCCCCCATCTTGGCAGTTGCAGCCATCTGGGGAGTGAGCCAGCATATCGAAGATACCTCTTTCTCTTTCCCCTTCTCCCATCCCTCCTCCTTTTCCTCTCTCTGTCTCTCGCTCCCACACTCTTTCCCTTTCTCCTCCTCTCCCTGTCACTCTGCCTTGCAAATAAATGTTTTTAAAAATGTTTAAAAATTGTTTAATGAACCAAAGTATAAAAGGCTTTGTTATTGTTAAACTATACAAATAAACATCATTTTGTATAGTGAAAACAGTGTCATTAGGGTGGGTGGTAAAAACAGAATAAGAACCATTTGCTAATCCCAGTTTTATCATCAAATGAATTATTAACTTCATCAAATTACTTTGCTCTGAGCTTTGGGTCTCTCACAAGGTCATTAAAAACTTCATAAAGACTGAGTTTTGGTTAGAAAATACGGTCATTTAACAGCCTTTCTTGGTTCTTTTGTCATTTTATTAAAAAGTGATTGGTTTATGTCATTACATGTAAGTATACCAATGAAGTTATTCACTACTTTGAGGATTAAACAAAAAACAATTTCATTTGTGTGCTGTTTTTCCCTTTCAGGAGATTGTAAGAACAATGCTGTTATACCCGGAACCATTCAAGTAAATGGCCATGGAGGACAGCCATCAAAACTTGTGAAGAGGGGACCTGGAAGGAAACCTAAGGTAGAAATTAATACCAATAGTGGTGAAGTTATTCACAAGAAAAGGGGTAGAAAGCCCAAAAAGCTACAGTATGCAAAGCCAGAAAATTCAGAGCAAAATAATGTGCATCCCATCAGAGATGAAGTGGTTCCTTCTTCAACATGTAATTTTCTTTCTGAAACTAATATTGTTAAGGAGGATTTGTTACAGAAAAAGAGTCGTGGAGGCAGAAAACCCAAAAGGAAGATGAAGACTCAAAAACTCGATTCAGATCTCATAGTTCCTGCAAATGTTAAAGTGCTAAGAAGAAGTAACCGAAAAAAGACAGATGATCCTATAGACGAGGAAGAAGAGTTTGAAGAACTCAAAGGCTCTGAACCCCACATGAGAACTAGAAACCAAGGTCGAAGGACAGCTTTCTATAATGAGGATGACTCTGAGGAGGAGCAAAGGCAGCTGTTGTTTGAAGACACCTCTTTAACTTTTGGAACTTCTAGTAGAGGACGAGTCCGAAAGTTGACTGAAAAAGCAAAAGCTAATTTAATTGGTTGGTAACTTGAACCAAAATATTTTACTTAAATCTATAAATAAAGCAGGTACAGTTAAGGAAAAGTGGGAACTAAGGCTTCTGCTTCCTTGCTGCTATGGTGGATTAGGGAATGTTATGATTTGATTTGCAAAAAAACCCACAAGACACTTCACTCTTTAAATGAATATATATATATAAATATATACATATATATATTTTAAACGTTTGCTATTTATTGCCCTTAGATAGGTTATGCATTTCCACATTCATTTCACTTACTGTTTGAAACAAAAGAAATGGAGGACCTATAATGGATTCCTGATTTGCTTATGGAAAAGATGGTTCTGCTACAATCTTAAGGAGTATAATATTCCTAGTGATAGAACATTTCATCATGTTAAAATGAATTATTTTTGACCAAGCAAGGTACATTTTTATTGATAAGAAGTCATGCATCTAGGAAGACAGGTGTTAAATAGAGTAGCAGTAAATCAAGAAATGTGTTTCCTCTGAAGATAGATTCCCACCATTTGCTACTCCCAAAATTTAATTTTAGTTATGTAGAATGTTTATCTACAGCGTATTTAAAGGAGGCTCTTGCTTTATTCCATTTCTGCCAAACTTAAGAGAAAATGTACTGATGAAAAGGAAACATATCCACATTGGAAACATTTGACTGTCTAATTTTTCAGACCTTGATTCTTAATATCAATCACTCAATCTCTGTTTATTGTGCCAAAGACTGAGAATCAGTGCAGTGGAAAGCCTGTTTTTGACTGTCAGGACAGCATACACTTTTCAATGTTGGAAAGGCTATATATTCTAAAGAGCAAGTTATTAAAGAGTTATGCTGAAATATATCTTTTTTTGGTAATAATAGTAGAAAATAATGCACTGGTGGGTCCTTTGACAGAGATGTTTTAGAGAATGTTTAAGTGGTTAAAGGATTCAAGGAAAATACAGGAAAAGTATGGGATTTGATGTTTACTTGTTGATCTGGATTAATGTCATTTCTAAACTTTAGACATATCTAATAGGCTAAAATGACTTACAAAGAAATGTGTCTGTGTGTGTATGTGTATATATTGATAAATGGGTATAATTAAATATATATACAAACACATACTTATATACTATTACCCAGGTATAAATTCTTTTTTCAGGATTTTTTAGATAGTGGTAGAAGAAGAATAATTTTAAAATGTCATACTTTATAGTTTAATTTTAAGGGGAAGATTGGTTATTTTCAATTATTAAAGGTTAAAATAGGCCAAATCACTTTTTATGCAATCATGTTTTATACAGTGGTCTCATTGCACATTGTGTTTTTTCTGCACTTTTTACGGTATCCTTATCACGCTGGTATGTCAATATACACCCTAAAGAAAAACTCCATTTAATGATTGTGCCTTGTATTCTATTATTTTTTGCATCATTAGTAAAATTAAGTTGTCTATTGTAAATGATAACTATATGACTTAGGAGAATGTATTGCTATATGTACTGCTATGGAAAAGGAAAGCAGTTATTTATTTGTTTATGGTACAGTTATTTTATACCTTAAAAACCAACATAAATACCATTTCTATTGTTTAAAAATTATTGTCCATTTTTTAAAAACTTTAAAGAATGTAGTATTTTCTGAGGACTAATATGGTACAAAAATGTAACCGAAATTTTCAGATACTACATTTTTAATAAGGATGGAAAAAATATGTATCAGCATGACCATGATGTAGAAAAATAAAGTCTTCAATTGAACCTTGGCAAAAATACAATACATAATTATTTCTTTTCTTATTTCTGATAAGGATAAATGTTAATGTCATTTAACTGTCTTGAAGAATGAAAAGTGATGCATTTGGGCTTTTTAGATTGTTTGTAACTAAATTTGTATAGAAATCCTCCTGTGAAATTAAGTAAACCATTTTCCAGATCTTGACTGGATTGCTATGATTTTGCAATTGAAAAAATAATTTCAAATTTTTCAGGTTTTTTGTATATTTATTTTTTTCTAACAAATATATTTAACTATATAATTAAAATTCAGTAGTTAAACTCTTCATAATGCAGAAATGGATGGCTTGGTTGTATAGTAAAATGAGTCAGTTACACCATTGAAAATAATAGTGTGTATGTTTGAAATTTAAGTCATTAAAGTAATTAGTTGCTTTGGAAGGCAATCTATTTGAAATATGTAATTTCCTGATGTTATCTGCATTGTGTTAGAAAAAATAGACTATAAATCCATGTTTGTAAAAATAATTATGTACAATTTTAAGGTGTGTACAGAAAAAGGAAGAGCGTTACACAGTCTTAGAGTGGAATATACCTCTTAGTATGCTGGGTGGGTTAGTTCCAGCTCTTGAGCAAAGAAATGAGGATTTACCATTTTTCCTCTGACAAGTAAAATGTATTGCTGTTCTAAAGACACTGTATATTTATGACCTTATTTGGATATTATCAGGCACTGGTTTCTTAGTAAAACAAAACAACTTAGAGTATTTAAAACTAAAACACTTAAAATGTATTAGTAATACCAGCTATATTTGGCTTTTATAATTTTTATAAGTTAGCTTCTGTACGTTGCAAAAGTTGAATTCAGAATTCTACATCATTGCCTCATTTTGTTTTTAACCCCTTGGAAAAACATCTTCATTGAGACAGTAACATTATGTATGTACTGTGTGTAAGTCAGAAGGAAATGTTGGCAGTGGTTTTAGGTGAACAATAAAAAGGCAGTAGATAAATAGCTTCTTAAACTGTTACCCTTTTCAATCTGGTATTATGGCATTGGACTATTTTGTGCAAATATTTAGGAACTAAGATCTGTTGCCCTTATTCTGTTGTTCTCATTGGACAACTTCACCACATTAAAAACTTTCTGGTAGCATTATCACAAAACTGTCTTCCTCCTTAAATGTAATTAGAATATCTGTATACAGTATTTATGAATTTGAGTAGGTTGCATCTGAGACATGTGTTGATTGAGTTAAGCAAGGCTCGGAAATGAGTTGCGTCACAGTCATCAGAGAAATACATGCACATGTATGTTAACATCTATAACTATCTCTTTTCTGCAGTGCAGTAGATTAATCAGACATGTTAACAGGTATATGTGTATTTAAATAACATTTTTATCTGATGTGATATTATGAGCATTTACATGTTAGAACATATGATTTGCAGTATAAATTAGTTCCTCCAGTTAACAGCATTTACCTTATTTCTGACATTCCATTTTATACCTTCCTACCTGTTTATCTCTGAAATGTCAGTTGGAAGCAATTTTGATCTTTATTTTTTTTCTAAGGAAAATGAATTTATTCTGAATGTTTTGGTTCACTTGAAATTTGAGTTGGTTGAAAGGACCAAGATACTCAAGTGGTTAAAGGGCTATACATTTTCTCTTTAAGTGCAGGAGATAACAAGATTTTAAAAGTAGTAACAGGAGAAGTAATTTTATTTTCTGGGAAATGCCCTACTTACTGAGATGGTATTTCTAGCATAACAGATTGAGCAGTGGTGTGGTTGGTAAGAATTTATTTTTCTACTAAAATCGAAAAAAATACTCCTTTCCTCTCTTACCTCCTTACATTTCCATTTAGTTCCCCTAATTTCCATGTAGTTGGAAGTAAAATAATTACATTTACTAAGAAACTAATTTTGTTTGTAATTACACTGGCAAACACTCCAAATTAAAAGTCATGTTGAACTATGTATGGTACTCAAGAGGAGGTCATATTGAGTCAAAAGACTGTAAGTACTACTTTAGGCGCTCCAGACATAGATATTGTTTTGTACACACTGCAATAAAATAAGTAGAAAACTTGAGCTATAAAGATATAGTTTTAGTTTTGATAGCTCTCTTGAAATGTTTGTAATGCAGATAAAATTATCAGGAAATTAAACTTTATATGGCACAAACCAAATACATAAAGTATATGGCTGAGTTTCTACATTCAAGGAGCCAAGAAATAGGTTCAAGATGTTATTGAATACGTGCGCGCATAAGAAAGATGAACGCACATGCTGTTGTTACTTTACAGTTTTGCGTGTTATCACAAAATGGACTACGAAATGAGGCAAAATACAAAGTTACATTTTTGGACCATATTAAAACTACAAGAAGACAAGAGGTCTTATTAAAGATCTTTTAGAAAAAAAATCCTTTCACAGGATATTTAGACATGTATAGAATGTAGCTCAATTTTTTAAAAGTAACTGACCTAGAGGGTTAAGTTGAAACTGACACATTTTCAAATTAAAATTATGCTTATTTTGTACAGAAAATAATGTTAAACACAAGCAAATCTGTTGTATGTAATAAGTAACAGAGTTTAAGACCAATTATTTAGCTTTATTGAAGTTTTTGTTTTGTTCCTTCCAGACTTTATGAATATCATGTTATAAAAACAGCATTCTCACACCAGAATAGCAGTGCCCTTTCTTTTTGTACATACTGATTGGACCTTTCTTTACTGTTACGTGGACACTTTCTATGTTAGTTTTGATGCATAATTCTTTGAATCCTTTTATACAAACTAGAATGTATGTGTAAGAATTCCTGTCCCTGCAATGTAGTAACTATAAACTTATTTTTAAATAAATAGAAAACTTGTTTTTCTAAGCTGTTTCGTAAAGCCTCATAATTTCTTTGCCTTTTTTCTTTGAGGGTAACACTTAAAAGCCTTTATAGATAATTTCAATAGACATTGTATCAAAATGTTTGCATAATAGAAATCATTATGTAAAAGCTGGTTTATTAGTTTCCAATGCCCTTGGCAAAATGTTAAAAAAATCATAAAAGATTTTGGGGTACCTTAATTTAATTCCAAAACAACTGAATGTTAAAATTAACTGATTTGCTTTTTTATTTTTACACTTAAACATTTTATTGACTTGTTACTGTGTTTAAATTACGATACTAGATGATAAATACTTCAATATTCAGATTTTTCTAAGATATTTCAAAGATACACTTATGATAGTTTTTCAGAAAGTGAAATTTCTAGGGGAAAACGGAAGCATGATGAAAATTTTAATTGTTAAACAGTTGTATAAATATTGATTTATAAACCTAATTCTGATTTCTTAGGAATTTGTTTACTTTGGCATATATTTTTATTATCCATCCTAAGGACCCCAGTTTTAGTATGAGAAAAAAATGCCTAAATCTATAATAAATAATTCACATTAAGCACATGATGTGCTGTAATCATTTCTCTCTAAGTTTTGCTTAAATTTTTTTTGGTAAAAAATTTTTTTTAAGATTTATTTATTTGAGAGGCAGAGAGGTAAAAGAAGAGACAGAGATCTTCATCTGCTGGTTCACTTTCCAAAACGACCCAAATAGCAAGGTCAGGTTGTCGTCAAGGGCCAGGAGTTTAATCCAGGTCTTCCACATGGCTGAGGGGCCCAAGCACTTGGGCCTTCTGCTGCTGCATTTCCCGGGCCACCAGCAGGGAGCTGGAAGGGATGTGGAGTAGCTGGGATTTGAACCTGTAGGCCCATGTCTCAGGCAGCAGTTAAACCCACTGCACCACAACACCAGCCCTATGTAAAATAAATTCTAAGTTGAGGAATAAATATAAAAATGCCCAGGTACCTTTTTTCTTTTGAAAATATGATAACAATTAGGTAGTTTATATTTAGAAGAACCAGCTGAGAAACATTCACTTTCAGCAACCACTTTATGATTAAGTTTCCTCAGTATTTAAAGACACTAAGATTAATCAAAGCACAAAAGCTGTGTTCTGTGCATGATAGTACTGTGTATTTTTAATGTTTGCATTGAACACGTTTATTGTATGTTAATTACTCTGTTTGGGAAGAGAATGGTGGAGTGAATTCTGTGAAGTACTTTTCTGCCAAATTAGACATGTTGGCAGCATAGTGTAATGGAAAGAACTGGGCTTTAGGTTGGAAAATGGGAGTTTTTGACTTTCATACCTTGACAGTTGTACCCTCCAACAAGGCCATTTCAGCTCCATGTTCATTTTCCTCATCTGTAAAGCTTAAGAAGATTGGCTTATTGCTGAGTCCAATTCCACTCTCATAGCCTCTTAGTGTATCTCATTTGTATAATTTAAAACTGTACTCATGGCTCAACTTTGACTTTTCTATTTAGTTCCTAAATAAAATTTGCCATTACAGCTTCTAGGCATGCTGTGACTGTGTCAGTGACTACTAGTGTAGTAAGTTACTGAACCCTTATAAAGACTTGACTGTTATAACACACTGTTGTATTGCTATAAATTGTGAGCTGATTGAAATATTTACTTACTAAAATGGTAGTAAAGATAGTTTTAGGGTGCAAACATTATCCTAAATTTTATCTTAGTTCTTTTAAATGTAGGATCCAATCTTCTGAGAAACCAGGATCAATTGTTTTCAGAGATTTCATCACTTGATTAAGGTAAGATGGGAAGAGAGGGTGCTTGGATGCATCCCCATATCAGAGTGCCTGGTTTGAGTCCTAGCTCCTGTGTTTCCCATCCACCTTCCTGCTGGTGCACATCTTGGGAGGCCGCAGATGATGGCTTAACTACTTGGGTCCCTAAAATTAAAGTAAATTTTGAAAAGATAGAATCATGGATTCCTCAGAAAAATAGTTGGTTTTCTTTTTAATCAAACTCTTTTAAGGTAAATAGAGAAGTGGGGAAACTTGTTTTTTGTTTTACTGTTTTGCTTTTAAGTGACAAAGTCAAAAGGAAGGAAAATTATTCTAAAGTAAGAAATATCTGATATCTGAGCATTATATTCAGAGGTTACAGAGCAACTTAGTCTTCTTTTGAGCACTTAAGAATTTTATTTTTAAAAAGTTGTTGTGTGGTATTGACAGTACTTGGCTATAAAGATTTCACATAGTCTTTTTTCTAGCCTGTCTGCTTTTAACATATTTTGTAAGTAAGTACATCAAAGCTCAGAAAACTTGGCCAAAGTTGTAGCACATTTTATCATTGTTTCCAAAATCTTATTCTTTCTATATACAGACACTGAAATTTCTCATATTTTGGAACAACTTGACACATTAGGATAAAATTCTCTGTCCTTGAAAAGCATACTCATTCTATTACCGCAGTGCAGTTGTATTTATCGCTACTCTCTTATGGGTCCCTCAGCTACTTACACATAAATTAGAAGTTTTAACCAGAGTAACCTCTATTTCACAGGAGAAAAAAAATATGAAAGATAATTTCAAACTATCACATGCAGGCATTTGTGGAGAATATTAAAGCTCATTAAAAGCATACAGCACAACTTTTATACCATAAATTTATAAAAATGAACATATCTTAAAAATATGACCCAAGAGATGGTGATGTTGCAAAGTGGATTAAACTACTGCCTGTAGCAACAACACCATCCTATGAATGCCAATGATCCAGTTCCCTGCTGTGTGCCTGGGAAAGCAGCAGAATGTGGCCTAAGTACTTGGGCCCCTGCACCCATTTGGGAAACCTGGATGTAGCTCCTGACTACATTGTAGTCTGACCCAGCATTGGCCATTGCAGACATTTGAAGGGGAGTGAACCAGGGAATGGGGTATCTCTAATTCCGCCTTCAAATAAATAAGTAAATCTTAAAAAAAAAAAAAAAAAAGGTTCCAGTATATAGTATACAGATCACTAAAGGGACTTTCTTGTATGACCGATAATCATTCTGGTATCAATGGATTTGACAAAACTTCATCAGTCTGGTGTGGATCACATGACTTCAATTGAATCACCAGCTCCAGTCTGTGTCCTTCAAATAGCAGAATGTCACATGGGATTAAATGTGCAAGGATTTTAATAACAGAAATGTTTGTGAAAGAAAATTGGCTGGGAGCTAGGAAAGGCTGGGAGATCAGAAGAAAAGAGGGAAGTAAGATTGAATGAATTGTCCTAAACTGCCACGTAGGCTAAGGAAAGGTTGACAAGGCTGTTGGGGGGTCCTTGAGCCAAAGTTGGCCTTCAGAGGACTTCCCTGTCTCCAAGGTAGGCACCAGCTTGCATACCTGCATGTTCAATAACAGCTGGGAACAGTCTGAGGAAAGAGTGCATCCATACAGCAGTATAATTCAGAGTTCAGTGACTGGGACTCTGGTCTTAAACTTCCTGGAGATGGAGTTCTACAAGGCATATTTTCATGGACACCCAAATATGCCTTACCATCTTAAAAGTTTTTGGTTTTATTTTAAGTCATGAGGCCACAATTTAGTTTATATTATTGCCATGCTTTTCAACCTCTTCATGAATTACATTGTTAGAAATGCTGACTTACATTCTGAATTATGTTCTCTGCCAATTTTAGTTTACCAAAGTTAATGCATCATTTGCAGTCTAGTATATAGGGATCCGTATGATATGTCCAGAAGTTAACAATTGATGCATGACAATTTGGCAGGTAATATCTAGGCTATAAAAACTTATTACTTAACCGTTAGTATTGGTACCAATAAAAATTATTCAGCATGTTAAGCCAAATGTCATAATCACCTAAGAAGAGAATTGTTCCATTGCTACATATAGGCAATAAATGATTCATTGGAAATCTTGCAATTTTTATGCATATATGCACCATATTTAGCAGAAATGTTTGAAATTCTTTAGGAATGCCACCTGAAATTGATTTTCACATGGAAGAGGTTATCAACCAAGGGACTGTAAAAATCGAATTTAGGTAAAACAGCTCCACTGAGCATTACATGAAAGTTTCCAACTGTGTGTGTAGTTTTGCAGCCTGGAAAGCACTCAGGTTTTTTTTTTTCTTTTTCCTTCTCTTACATTTCAGATGACTGTCTACTAGCAACCCTGGGGTGCCAAAGCAAGATATTTTGTTTTGGAATCACGGAAATGGTATGTAAATCATTTTAATGTGCTTGACATTGTGGTACCAAAACTCAGATAATGCCATACCTTCAAAATTAAGTTTCATTTTCAGGCAATATTTTAAAATGTTACACTTTGACTTAATATTTTTACAATTCTTGTCAACTGAAAGGCAAGTGAAAAGATATTCTTTGTCTCAAGTTTTGAGAAAATTTTAAATATTCCCTTGAAAGTTGTTAAAATTACCTAGGAGTTAGTTAATAAACTGATTTATTAACCACCAATTAAAGCAAGTTTGTTTTAATTTAGAATGGTTAAAATGACCTATATTGCAAATGAAATTTTATTTTGAACACTTGATATGACTCAAGTATTTTGGCTTAGTATAATGTTGTAATTACTACAAATATAGATTTTAAATTCCGTCATCTCTTGTTTACTAAGGAGCGGGTTTCCAGGGTCAGCTTGGCAACCACTGCTGGAGGCGCTCATCCAACCTTGGCCCAAGACAGGACGGTCAGCGGGGTGGCACCTTAGGATTCCCCTGGAAGTTAATTAATTAATCCCAAATCCAACTCGCTTGCTCGCTCTCATTTCCCTCCACTTCCTGGTGTGAATGTACTTGTTGATCACTATATCAGTGATGAGTTTTATCAGTGTGAACATGATTCCCCATTGCCAGAACTTCATGTGTCTCACCAGTTTGACCCAGTTACTACTGAGTGGGCAGGGGCTGAGGTCACTGTGTCCTTAGTGAAGCCAGGTGAATGCGCGACTCCTGAGGCCTAACATTGTGGAAAGCACAGCTCATGTA